AGATGTTATTAGTATTTCGCAAGAAAAAATATAAATTTGGGATTGTTGTAAAGTAGAGATTAGAGTTAGATTTAGATTAGAAGTAATTTTAATTATAGCTACTATTTTTTTATAATCTATTTGTAAATAAGATTTGTTAAACTTTATTTGCTTATATAGAAGGTTTATAGAACTAAAATTAGATAAAGAGTTAGAAATTTCTATTAAGTTTGTTTGCCTAGTAGGTGTTTCATTTGTTTGCTCGATTTTGTATAAGAGTATATATTAAGAATTAAAGTGTTAGATAAAGATTCTATTTTGGTTAATAGAAAAGATTTGGATGAGAAAATTTGTATTTAAGGAAAATATAAGATTAGTTGTATTAATAAATTAGTTTGTTAAAGATAAGAAAGATATAACTATATAAACTATAGAGAGTTGTTTTGTAATATTTGTAAAAGATAAGTAAACTATGCAGATTGATGGCCTCTAATTGCTTTGTTTGTTTGCAGATAATTATTGTTTTAGAGTAGAAGAAATTTGTTGTTTGTAGTTGTAATTTGTTTTATAAAGAAGATTTTGTTATTTTTAAAACTATTAATTATAAGATTGTTAGAGGTTTTGGAAAGTATATTATAAATTAAATATGTATTTTTTGGGATAAAGAAAAGATAAATTGTAGTTGGAAGACAAGATGAAATTGTTATATTGTTTTTGGCTAGTTGTATAAGATAAAAGAGAAAAGTATAGTTGTAAGTTTTTTAATAATGTAAAAGAAGTGTTTTTTTGAAAAAGCTAGAACACCAAATTTTTAAAAGCCAAGATTTAATTCAAAAGATACCAATTTTATTAAGAAGTAGAGAAGAATTGAAGGTATGTTCAATATTAGAAACACTACCTTTTTGAATAATATTGTTAAATGTTGGTAGATTAAAAGTAAAAGGGTTTAGTAGTAAGATGTTATTAGTATTTTTGGCAAGTAAAAGCATCTTTTTTGCTTGTATAGAAAATAGACAAGAGAGTTTAGTTTGTATATTTTTTTAGATATGTATAATTTGTAGTAAACATTTAAGTGAGAATTAGAGTATGAGGTTAAATAGCAATGAAATTTGAAATGGAAGAAGTTTTTTAAATCTAATAAGTAGTAAGAAGTTTTCTATTTTATTGTAAATTATATCTAGTATTGACTTAGTTGAGCCTTTACTGTCATAATAAATACCAAGATATCTAATTGTGTTGGTAAGTTTTATGAAATTAATTATTTAGTTGTTGAAATAAAGTAAGTGGTTTGGTATTTTGAAGTTTTTAGAGTAGATATAAAACAAATTAGATTTCGATAGATTAACTTTAATATTAGTGTTCCAAATTGTTAGTTGAAAAATCGAATAGTTAACAACTTTTTAACTAACCGATTTAAAAATTTTGTAATCAACTAACTGATTTATAATCAACTAGTTCGATTACAGTTAATGTTAGTTGTCAACTAGTTGTTAACTAACCAGTTGTATATATTAATCAACTACACAACTAGCGCTAGTAATAGCAGTAAATTATGTAATGTAATTACAATTATTGTATATATTAGGTAAATTGGCAAAGCTAATCATTATGCATACATAGCTAATTTGTAATTTACACCTGATTTTTACCACTTTAGTATGCACGTATTTGTAATAGATGCATAATCTTTATTGTGTAAATTATGTGAAAAAAAAATTATAAAATATTTCTTGGCATCATGTAACAAGCATGAATTGTTAGTTAATAACGGTGGTGAGCTGAAACATTCTATACATTGAAGTCCATTTTATTCTTTGGTTTAAATTCAATTAAATGGTTTTGTAATTAAAAATTATTATCAGAACTATGCGAATAATATAAGCATAATTAATCAATATACTCAATTTGTAAAAATCAAATAATAAAAAAAAAAGGATACATCAACAAGTAAAAGTCAAGAAATTTCTTAATGAACACTTAAGCATTTAATTATTCTCACATATAATATGGGAAATCTTATTATTGACAGAACATATAGTACTGGCTATGGAGCCTGTGATAAATATCATCATATAAAATTGGTGAATATAAGGCATTTGTTTACTATTACAAATCTGCTTTTAGTCTTAAAAAAACCCATATAAGTACCTATGATGAGTAAATTATATATTATATAAAAAAAAGAGAGAACATTAAATAAATATAAAATTTTATTCTAGATTTTACCTTGTACAGAATCTGTATAACATGTAAGTAATTTAATACCAATATTAACATAATAAAAGGTAAAAATAACATCTTGGTAATAATATCTAAATGGATGAATCTACAAAGGATAGTTTGCATGATAATGAGTTTTATTCATCTGATAACAAAGAAAAAAATAATAGTGATAGTGAAGCATTACCTTCAATGTTTACTTCAAATTTGAAGAATATCAAAAAAAGAAAAAGAAGAAGGCCAGAAAGTTTCGTATAGAGATTTTTTAAAAAATATAAATATACAATACTCTTCCCAGATAATCAAAAGGAAGAAGTTAAAAAAGCTTAGTGTTCATTTGAAGGATGTGATACAGAGTATTTGTGGAGTGGCTCAACAAGCAACTTAATAAATCATCTTAGGAATACCCATCATGTTACAAAAGAATTACTTGCAGATAATCCAGTAAAAGTTCATCAACAGACAATTCAGCAAGTGTTGATAATACCTCATTCTTCTTATATTCAAAAAAAACTTACACATCAAGTTGTATGCTATATAGTTTCACGTACTCAGCCTATTCGTCTTGTTGAAATTGATGACTTTAAGCTTTTGTTAAAAAGTTTTGATTCTCGTTTTAAAATGCTATGTGTTAGTACAATAAAAACAATTATATTTAATATCTATACTTTAGCAACAAAACAAATAATAGATCTTATTTCAAAGACATCTGACACAGTTTCTTTAACTCTTGATATTTGATCTTCACAAGCACATGATAGTTAACTTGGAATTACTTGTTACTAGCTTACAAATTCATTTAAGTTGCATGGGATTGTACTTGAGATTGGGGAGTTAGATGATCATTGCATGTCTGATATTGTTGAATTAGTTAATTTTGTTTTTGATAAGTTTAATATTAATTATCAAAAGATTTTTTCTATTACTACAGATAATGGAGCGAATGTCAAGTCTGCTATACAACAAATGTGTATTACTAATGTTAAGTGCGCTGGGTATACATTACAATTAAGTATAAATTTAGGGCTAAAGCAAATCGATAGGCTTATTTCAAAGTGCAAATCATTAGTTTCTATTTTGTCAAAAGAAAAAAAATAAAAGCAACTTTGTAAAACTTAGTTGCAAATTACTCTGGGACTAAAAGAACTACTAGATGTTATTAAAGATGTAGATACCAGATAGAACTCCACCTTTTATTCTATTGAATATCTTGTGTATTTAAAACCTGCTATTATGCAATTATATTCAACCCTTAACAATCATACTCTTAGGGAGATCAGAAGAGAAGCAGAAACGATGAGTTCTTTTCTTCTTTCAGAAAAAGAGTTTGAAGTATTGGAAGAACTCATTATAATTCTTTCCCCTTTCAATGAAGCAACAGAATTTTTAAGTGGATCCAAATACCCAACACTTGGTTTTATGACTCCAATATTAGAAGAACTTGCACATTGGCTTAAGTACTTTACTGGACAAAATAATAAAACAATCTTTGTTAAAGACACAATTTTGGATAATTTAATTGAAAGGTGGGGAGACCCAAGTGAGGTTGGCCTGTGCTGCTCTTTTCTTGACCCATAGTTTAAGCAATTATACGGTAACTACACCAATTTCTACTTCAACCAAGACATTAAAAGTAGAAGATACAAGCATCTTGGAAAAGCTAAGTCGAAAATATAGCACAAAACAACTTATTGAGTATCTGAAGAGACAAGAAATAATCATTAAACAGAAATCACTTAAGACGCGTAACTTAGAGTTTTCAAATTGTATGTGTAGGAGCTAATTTATGTACCTGTTTTGTAGTATACTTATTAGAGTTTTCTTTATAATAGTGATCGAAAAAATTCGAAATTGCAAGTTCCCTATGCAATATACTTAGTGATCTTCCCCCCAGAAGATTGGTCATATGATCACTACGCTGGTTGGATAGATAAAAATATGAACAAGGCAACGATAAACGGTGCATTTTACAGAACGTTAGAAACCATGAAAATGATCAAAATATTTCGCAAGGAATCCATAATGTCATTCAAGGACTTTTGAAAAGTAAAAAAGTAAGTTTTGAAGTATATTTCAAATAATTTTTTTTGGAGTGTAGTCGGGATGGTGACTTTTTGTCAGACTTCTCGTGCCCTTGATGATCTCGTCTCGGAAAGGGATAGCCGCGAGTAGTTGAATTGGATGCGCATTTTGCTGACTTCGCTTTGGCATGTGCAATAGGGATGGTCAGGACCCCGAACTACTTTTTACAAATTATATCCACTTTTTATTAGAGCTATTTAAAGAAAAAATTCTAACAAACCAAAAGTTATTTTCCTATAACCCTAACACAATATTTACTTTATTTTGTATAAGTTTTCCGATCAACAAATATAATTTTTTTTTTTTATTTCTTTCCCTTTTTTTATTTCGCCATCCAAAATTTCAATATAACATCTATATATATACAATATTATTCGGGGTCCTGTGTGGTTTCCTGCATCTGGCCATCCAGGGTTTCTTTGAGAGGTCTACTAACTTCTAGAAAAGTTGGTTATGAATCTTCTTCTTAATCAAGAAACTTCAGAACTTACAAGCTGGAATTGGTGTATATTGTTTTACATAATTTTTCCGATCTAGTAAAATTTTTTCTTATTTTTTTATAAAGTCAGATGTAAATAAATCGGCTGAAGGAAAACGAAAAAATATAGATTATACGGATTCCAGAGCCATTAAGAAAGTGAAGAAAGAATCTGAAAAATCGGATACTATTCTTAAGGAACTTAAAAATACAAATGCCAGAGTCACGAAGAATGTAACCGCTTCAACTGAAAAATCGAATACTAATCTTGAAGTACTCGAAGAAATTCTTCTAAAGTTTTTTAAGTCACGATCAAATTTCTCATTATCATCTGCATCTGAGGCAGTGTTGCAAGCCGTTGCTGAATTATTATTGCAAGAAAATCAAATTCCGGAATTGCCGGAATTGTGTTTAGTAATTGATAACAACAAACCAAAGGGAGATGGTAGGTTCGGTTTTGTTGATCTCATTTTTGGAGGCTTAAATCCTTCAGTAATAGAATTAAAATATATTAATCTCTCGGGTTTAATAAAAGCAATGAATAATGATTGGAATTCATATTCGAGCACAAATGATTTAGCCGCTCTTGATAAATATATTGAAAATGAAGATGAAAAGACACTTTTAAAACGAAAATATATGTTTTGGTCAAAAAAAGATAACAAGCCAAATCTCACAACGTTAAATGATATTTTACTTTCTGCGGATGATCAATTTAAAAAATATATGAATGTAATCATACATGGACCAGCCCAAGATGGTAAACCGGGTATTATAGATTCTCGAATCCTTATAAAACAGCAACCTAAATATTAAACGGTTATGTTATTATGATGATTGGTTTTCGACGTCTTGTATCTAGATTTGTTGGATCTCAAAATATTCATTTTAGTTTTACTAAAAAAACTAATTCTTGTTAGTTTAGTTCTATTACGATCTATTCATTCTTATTAAATTTTGAAATAAGAGTTATTGAGTAGAATTTTGCTTTTGAAAATTAGTAAAAGATATTTGTTTTTTGATATTTTATCCTATCTATGTAGTTAATATGTAGAGATGTAAACTGCGAATCTGGTCTGATCTAGTCCTAGGATCTAATAGGGCAGTCTCAGACTTGTTATAAAAAACTGACTATAATGCAAGCCGGGCAGAAAAAACGTGTAACTCGTGCCTACTGTAACCATCGTAAGGGAGAGCTTGGTACTGTCATGCCGAGTTTAACTCCGATGGTTGACGTTAAAGGGGTCACATGAATCTGACAATAAATTATACTATTCGGTTATTCATGGTTTATTAGGCATTTATTATAAAAAAGAATGTGAATATATGTGGCCTTTATTTATAGAAGAATTTAGGAGAGCGAATGTTACTCTCAACTAAGGATGAAGACACATTCTTATTTATATACATTCAAATTTTACAGATTATCAACACAGTGATCTCAACGCTTACGCTGTAGATTCCACATTTGACCAAAACGCAATGATTACATGTTTATGCAATCGCGTATACGCGCTATTTGAGCGTAAACGCTCTTGCATGAATTAAGCTACGAAGAATAAATAATAATGCCTAATCTACTACAGTACTAAGGTAGGATTAACACGATTTACTTATTTTCGCGAGTAATACAAAAAGGAAATTCAATTTTGTAAATAAACTAAGTGCGTAATAGAAGTTTAGGATTAGGACATTAGGGTTGTGAGCTTTAGTGATAAGTTGGAGTTCTTATATGTAAAATTTCATCCCCATTATTTTTTATTAGTCAATCAAGGTCGATTTAAACTCTAGTTTTTGAGTATTTTCGTTTTCTTTTCTTTTTTTCTTCTTTCGCACGTGTTTGGAATCTTTGTCGGGCTGATCCGGGATAGTCAAAATCTGTGTTCTCTGATTGGCCATATCCTTTTTAGGAGTTTGTATTACTTGCTAAAATAAGTGGCTGCGGATTAACATGGGTGTGTTTTATGTTGCCTTTCGGAGGTCACACCTGTAGGTATAGTTACAAAGGAGACTCTCGGTTGATCCATAATGAAAAGTGGTTCATTCCGGGCCTAAAAGGAGGATGTTTATGTAACCTTTTGGAGCCATGACGAAAAATGGTTTATTATGAGCCCACAAAGTAGTGTACTTTACGTTGCCTTTTGGAGGTCACCTTGTAATGCAGCTACAAATGAGACTCCCGGTTGATCCATGACGAAAATGATTCATTCCGAGCCCACAAAGAAGTATACTTTATATGCCTTTTGGAGGTCACCTTGTGGATACGTAGCCACAAAGGTGACTCCCGGGTAATCCATGGATGTAACTCGCAAAGAATACAATCTAATAGAGTTTTTTTTTTTTTTTGATAAGGTTTACTAATCTGGGGGAGGATTGGTTATGCACCTTTCTTATTAAAAAACTTTCACTTGTTATACTTTAACGAAAATACATCACTAAATAAAATTTTTTTATTCCATGGAAAAATAGAAGTCTCAAGAATATAGTTAAACAAACGAAGAAAAATATTTAAAGACATATTCACTGGTAGATAAAAACAAAAGAAAATTTTCAAGGACTAATGGCGACAAATAAAAAGACGAGTAAATTTTCATATAGACAAAATAAAATGCATACAAAGATAGCTAATATCGAAATGTATTTATTATGTTTATAGATAAGATCTCCAATCATGTGTAAACGTTTTTTTTAAAAAATTTATGAACCTACTTTCTACACACTAAAAAAAAAAAAAAAAAAAAATGCCTTGCAAAATTTTGATATAATGTAGGCCTCTATTTCGGTCATAGCCCTAGCCCAGGGTTGGCAATGGAGCTCAATGGAACTGCGAATAGAGCCAATGGAGCCAATTGATACTAGTTTTTTGAGCTCAATTTACGTAACCATTGAGCTCCCATTGACTTCATTGCAACCCTGCCCTAGCCTTAACGTAAGGTTTTATTACTTTAAAAGCACTAGTTGTTTTGATTAATGTATGTTTAAATAGTAGATAATTTAGAATCTGATAATCATTTTGTTAATTTGAATTACATTTATAAATAGTAGAGATCAGTAAGAGGATTTGATCCCGCGGTTTGGGTTATTCTTTAGAAGTTATTATACTTGCATATTTAATTCAATTACAAGACTAGAATCATTGAATTTATTTCAAATTTATAATATTGCGAAATTTATGTCGCTAGTCTATTTAGTGTGTTAAACGTACAGATGGAGTCGGTGTGTCTTCGCTACTTTCGTTGGTCTTGGAATGATTAATCAGCCGAGTAGGATCGAGTGGCGAATTCATATAGGGCACGCCAATATATTTTTTTTTAAGCAATGAAGAACGGGTGTACAAGTCTGAAATCTTAATTTATTAAGATAATCTTTATTATATGTTTGTAACGATTAAAGATTATTAAAAAAGTCGGTAAATTTAAAATTAAAAAAGTTTAAATCTAACCCGTCATTTAATGACGGGTCTAAATCTAATAATTAATGTAAATTGATCATCATTGCTAACAAAGTTATGTTATATAGTAGGTATTTCAAAAAAAAAAAAAAAAAAAAGCCATCAAAAAATGGTACAAAATGCAAAACAAACTCCCTCTTTATTATCAAATATTAATATATATATAATTTAACGAAGGATAAAAAACTATTGCAAGCAAATTTAATAAATTAGTTGTGTAGCCAAATTTGATCAATAACTTATGTCTTTAACCATGCGTGCCCGAACGGAATAATGCATAATAAGCAGTACATAATACATTTAAAGTTTACCATTCTTTTTTAAGGCATCATACAAAGTTAGGGCTGATAAAGCCTTCATATCTGGAATTTTCCATAGATGATCCAATTCTACCAATCCAACTGTAATACTTTCTCCGTGATCTCGTAATCCACAAAGCTTACCTTCTAAGCTTTTAACCTCTTTGTGATCCATTTCCTTAATACATAGGCATAATCTTAAGAATTCATCACAACCACCGGGTGATGGATACGCTCCTCTGTATTTATCCCCATATGCCAATTCGGTCAAATCAATTAGATCTTGGTCTTTTATCTCAATTCCAGTTTCTTCTTTAATTTCTTCACTGGCTTTTCCAGCGAAATTGCCCGATCCATCGAGCATTCCTGTTACCGAAATAAATTATGTATTAAATACACAACCAGGAAATTTATTTTCATTAATTATACCTGCAGGTATCTCAGGGAAATTAAACGAAGGAACAGGCAAACGTGGTTGATATGTAATAACAACGTGCTCCTTTAACGTTTGATCATTTGGATCTTTAGATCGAAGAATTAGTAATACCGCGACTGCACCACCTCTCTAAATGATTAAAAGAAAACTCGATATAAATATTTATTTTGGTCATGTTTATTAAAAAAAAATATATATATTTTTTTAAGCATAACCATAAAAACAATTCCAGGCACATTTTTCCCATTTTCAACGAGTTTTGCGTCTACTTTAAATTTAATGAATCCAATTTTCGATCCAAAATAATCGACATTTTGAATTTCAATTTTATTAACTTCAAGTTCTTTCTTATCTGCAGAAAGAACTTTGTTGGATAAAGTAGAAACCCATTCTTCAAAAGGTTTAAATTTAAGTACTGACGCGACTTCTATGTTTTGTTGCGTGACAGTAATAGGAACGTTGGAGCCACCAATATTGATCGAGGCCTCTGCGTTGGACATTGATCGATAGACAAAATTTGCAGTAGGGAATTTTCTACGTATAGGTAAAGTGTTCCACGAACAATAGATGTTCAGTGAAAGCCTGCGAGCAAAACACGAATGAAGGGTTTTTTTATACATATGATTTTACAGTAATTGTTAACGTTAACTAATCAGCCAATTACAATTTTCGTAGGTCTGAAGCCAATTGATTGGCTATTTTCCGTGTAGCAATTGTACAAACATGCGTACGTACATACGTACGTACGTACGTAAGAAATTACGCATACCCATATCATAAAAGTGATAAATCGAAGTTTTGGATTCTTGAAATAATTATTTAATTCTTATATCTGTTAACAATGACAACTCTTGATGACAAAAGTCTTTGGAACCAAGCCGAGGATGGGCTTGAAGATCTTGGGCAAGAAATCTTAAAGTCTAGTACCGATGATATTATCAATCGCACGCGCTTGCTCGAGAATGAAATTAAGGTTTTTAAGCATTGATAAATTTTGTAAAATTACTCGTTGAGATTTTAATTACGCATTTTGTATCGTCATGATAAATAGGTGATGAAATCGGAGCATATGAGATTGATACATGAACAGAGTAGTATGAAAGAAAAGATAAAGGACAATAGAGAAAAAATAAAAGTCAACAAACAATTACCGTATCTTGTGGGGAATGTTGTTGAGGTATGTAATTAAAAAATGAGGTGACGGGAATCTTTTACAATGTTATATCATACTTCTATGCAAATCTATGTTTAATTATATAAATATCAATGATGCAATTTTTTGTTTTTAATTTTTTTTTTTCTATTCTATTTTTATTTTATTTTGTAATCCATTGTCTAAAAAGTATTGAAAACAAACTAACGTTTTTTTACGTGTCGAATTCGTTATGACAAATCAGTTACTCGACATGGATCCAAATGATGAACCGGAAGAAGATGGTGCCAATATCGACCTTGATGCGCACCGAAAAGGAAAATGCGCAGTAATTAAGACATCTACGCGACAGGTAAGACTCGAATTGTATCAATTTGTGATTTCATTTTTTATTTTTACCATTTATAATAAAATTTAATCGAATTTCTATCGGTTAGACAATTTTTTTACCTTTAATTGGACTTGTTGATCCAGCTACTTTAAAACCGGGAGATTTAATCGGCGTAAACAAGGATAGTTATTTAGTTTTGGATACGTTACCTGCTGAGTAAGTCTTAATATTTTACCTAAGGCATTCGTAATAATTCTCATAATAAGAGTATCTCTATTTCAGATACGATTCTCGTGTTAAAGCTATGGAAGTTGATGAAAAACCAACTGAAGATTATACTGACATTGGAGGCTTAGATAAGCAGATCGAAGAATTGGTAGAGGCTATCGTGCTTCCTATGACACATGCTGATAGATTCAAGAATTTAGGTATCAAACCACCGAAAGGTACAGAGAAAATTTGATATACTATTTGTTTCTATTTTTTTTTTTTTGCCTATAAAAATTTATAAAAAAAAAAAATCTTTTAGGTGTTTTAATGTATGGACCACCTGGCACGGGTAAAACATTGTTGGCCAGGGCTTGTGCCGCTCAGACCAATTCTACATATTTAAAATTAGCAGGCCCGCAACTTGTTCAGGTAAAAATAATGACTATTTAATTCTATTTGCGAATGATTGAGATATTTTGCATATTTTGTATACAATTTTACTTAATATGTGTAATTAAGATGTTTATCGGTGATGGAGCCAAACTTGTGCGTGATGCGTTTAACTTGGCAAAAGAAAAAGCGCCTTCCATTATTTTCATAGATGAATTGGACGCTATAGGAACTAAGCGTTTTGATAGTGAAAAAAGTGGTGATCGAGAGGTACAACGAACAATGTTAGAATTATTGAATCAACTTGATGGATTCAGCAGTGATGAAAGAATCAAGGTTTGTGATACAACTTTTTTCATTACTGTATTCTAGGGATGTTAACGGTCTTGTCTGGTCCAGTCTGGTCGATTTTTGTCTGTTGATTTTTGTCTGGTTCATGATAGTCTATAGTCCTAAGGGTTAATTAAACCAGACTGGTCCAGACTGGTCCAGTTCTAAGACTAAGAGCAGCCAATTTTTTCCATATTTGGACTGGTTTATGACCAACTGCGGTCTTTTAGACTAAGACCAGACACATAACATCTCTACTGTATATGCATTTTGTATTACATTAATGTTATAACAAGGAAAGTTTAACTGCAGGTGATTGCTGCTACAAATCGTATTGACATTTTGGATCCAGCACTCCTGCGATCTGGACGTCTTGATAGAAAGATAGAGTTTCCGCTTCCAAATGAAGAGGCGCGTGCACGTATTCTTCAGATTCATTCACGTAAAATGACCGTTGGTGCTGACGTCAATTATGACGAATTAGCCCGTTGTTGTGATGAATTCAACGGTGCTCAATGTAAAGCTGTTTGCGTTGAGGCAGGCATGTTAGCTTTAAGGAGAAACGCAACTGAATTGAATCATGAAGATTTTATGGACGGTGAGTTTGATAAATTTAATTATACATATTCGGGTACATGCGTGCATACACACACGGAGATGTATCTATTATTATGTCAGCCAATCAGTTCTTTAAAATGACGTATTATGGATAATGTACGCGAAAAAAACTATTCGGCTTACTATAAATGGCACATTTATACACACTGCCCATACATAAAAGTATATATAACATAAATAACATAATAATAATATATTCACTATGTATTTTTTTGGTAATTATAAATAGGTATTCAAGAAGTCATGGCAAAAAAGAAAACTTCATTACAGTATTATGCTTAGATACAATACTTTCACTAAAAAGAAATAAGCCTTTTTGTCTAAATTTTATTAGTAAAGGTGAATGCAAGGTTTTTCACCAAAATAAAACGTTAAAATATAAATATCTATAAAATTCAAAAACTGTGTAACTTTAATAAGTCTTAATTATTGAATATCATTTACAAAAATAAAAGCTTAACAGAAGCAAGGTCTAAGCCCAGAGCGGTACTGTGTACAATTATTGTCAGCCGATATGGTTACATTAATGATATTTGATGATTGGATGAATTTAACAGTAAAATTGCCTTTTTAGGGTTGGGTCTTTAAGACAAGGAGGTCACAGGTTATACCACAAACACCCACCTAAATTTGTGTTATAGATAGTTTATTGAATTTTTTATACTGTACGAAAAAAAAAAACAAAGCTTTTTTTGTTTGTATTATATTAAAGTGACATTTTGTGACTAATCAAGTACTCTATTTGTTTCCTCTTGGTATTGCAATTTTTTTATTTTAATACCCCAGCTTGCTCTGTAAGTTGACAAAAACTTTATAGAATATCATTCATTTCACATACGCATTTTCCAGTTATGCCTCATCACAATTCCCTTGAGATGTCAGCACCCCCAACTAAGGCGAATTTGAAGGCATGGTGGAAGCAATTCGCAGCAAGGAATGCGAAAAGAGAAGGAGAAAGGAAGGGGAAAGGTAGCTTTGACGTTTTGATGATAACTATAACTTATTAAATTCATACATTCTTTGGAGTTTAATATTTCTAAATAAAAGTCAAAGATTGGGAAAATTTATGTTATTTCATTTTATTTATTTTATTTTTTATCAATTAATTATCATTTTAAACTAAATTATAGGTTCTCGTGGAATTTTTGGCGTTGATCTCGCCGAAGGAATAGAATATGCTAGAGTACCAATATGTATGGCAGGGCCAGACGGGAAACAATATATATACGGGTATATACCGACAATAGTCGCAAAATGCGGAATGTATTTAAAAGAACAAGGTATTTATTTTCTCTCACGATTTATTTTTTTTTTTATTGGATCAAATTTTCATTGGAGGCATATTGCTTCGCTAGGAATTAGGATTTGGAAATAAAAATCCTAAAAACCATGCCGGGGTAGATACTTTTGGTATTTCGAAATTTTTTGGTTTGTATGTTGTTTTGATCTCACACCTTTATTATTTTTTTTTTTGTTAAATTTAGCGACAACAACTGAAGGCATATTCCGATTAAGTGGATCAGCCAAAAGGATAAAAGAATTGCAAACGATTTTTGATTCTCCACCGGTTTATGGAAAGACTTTAACCTGGGTTGGCTATACTGTACATGATGCTGCAAATGTACTACGAAGGTATCTAAACCATTTACCAGATAAAGTTATTCCACTTGTTTGGTATGACAAGTTTCGAGCAGTACATGGTAATAAAACGTCATATTATATATACATTGTGCTGATTCGGTTCTTATAATTATTTTTAATATGTATACCTTGATAGGTTTTAAATTACTGAAATTTTTTACATTTTTTTTTTTTTTCCTAACAGTTAGCCATAAGGATGCAGGTGCCCTCGTGGAAAACTACCAAAGGTTGATCCAATCGCTTCCTAAAGAAAACCAGCATTTACTCCTTTACATTCTCGATTTACTTGCAGTTTTTTCATCTAAATCTTCACAAAACTTGATGCCATCAAAGAATTTGGCTTCTATTTTTCAACCCGGCATTCTATCTCATCCAGATCACGATATGGATCCTGAACAATATAAATTATCACAAGAAGTTGTGGAGTTCTTAATTGATTATCAAAATTATTTTTTGATGTCTTTACCAAATCCTGATCATGATATCCCTGTAAGCGAGCCTATTAGGACTCGAAATATTGATCCGGACACTGATACAATGTCACTTATGGAGCCATACGACCTTAATAATGTACCCGTTACACAATTACCATTACGAAGATCTAGTTTAAGCCTTGAACCTTCAAGCGATAATGATATGTCATTGCCGCAACGACGACCATCATATGATTCTAGAATATTAAGTCGTCCAGGATCTACAATTCTAGGAAGGAGTAAAACATTACCCAGTAAAAGATCTACGTACAGGGACAGTCAAAACTTAGGGGTTGCGGAAGGAGAAACTATTGAAGATCCCAACGGTAATTTAATTCTTACATAGCTTTTCCTTTTTTTGGGGGTGGGGCTTTATAAAATTTATTTAATTCACATATATGTCGCTCGTCTATTATTGTATTTTGATAGTAGTTTAGTAATGACGGGCTGTAGGGGTGGATATATTTATGCACTATTTTCATTTCTTCCCATTGCATTAATGAAACCATTATTATAGAGGTTTTTATATTTTAATGAGTGGAAGCTCTATATCTATATCTACGATTTTAAATATTAATAATACTTTATAATATATTAGCTATTCTTTTTATTATTTTTTTTTATACATTGATTATCCATACTCAAATCCTTAACATTTTGGGATGGAACCAATTCATCATTTGTTATGTATTTTAAATAAAATCAATTTCGTCTATATGCATTGGATCTTTCCACATATAATATATATTATTTATTTTAATATTTATTTCATTTGCTTTTATTATAATTGCTTAAAACTTACAATTATCATATATTCTCACGGGTTTAATTTCCTATTCTAGATAATGGCAAATCTAAAACAAAAAAACGCGGAACCAGAAAAAGATTTTCGTACTTCGGGCCATTTATATTTCCTATAGATTTAGCATTTGGTTCTCGATCTACACGATTCGAACGAGGTCTAGCATCGAGGAAGGAATCAAAGTTAAAAACAAACTCAAGAAAATCACCTATTAACAAATCATTTTGGTCATCATCGACTGATCAAATTGAACAGTTTGAGGATGATTTATCAATAAATTCTTCAATATCATCGAGAAAACAAAACCACAATGAAAAAAAGAATAATGTCAAGAAAAATTCAAAGAAAAGATGGTATTCTAATATAATCAAGACTTAAGAATCGGTTTATTATTGATGATAAAAAAATGTGTTCGTGATAATGGTTTTTTAAAATTTTATTTTTCATTCTTTTTTTTTTTAAAAAAAAAAAATTAATATTTTATTCAAATTAAGTTACATAATTATGCATGTTTAATAGCGGCTGTATATTTTTTAAGTAACATATTCTTTGTTTTATAATTTTTTTTTTTTTTACAAGCAAATCATTAATTATAATGTACAGATATATGCAATTTGAGATATAAGAATTCATATTTGGTTAGGTTAAAGCTTGAGTAACTCGTTCAGTAAATATATATCCTTATTTTCGTAGATTTAATCCAAAAAAAAAATCAAATTTCTTTATAAAAATATTTAATGAGAAATATATTTTTGTTTCAAAGAATATTGACAAAAGAAAACAAAACAGGAATAGTAGTTTTTATTATTTTTTTTACTAGAATCCATGTTATGCACGATAATGAGACATGTAACCTTGGGACGTTATTATACTTTCATATTATTTAGTAAAAATATTAAACAGCAAGTTGACACACTTCATAGTGCTTGGACCCGGATATCTAAATAGATGACCTGTCTTACCTATCAGGTTATCTGGTTTTTAATTATCTCGACGTTAATACATAATTACTACAGCCTTCCTATCGTTATCACATATTTCTTGTAATATAACTAGTATATAACTCGTTACTTGGGTTTATGGTTTTATTTCGTGAAATCTTATAGAATTTAGTCAGATAAATGGTGTTATATTATAAATATCATTTACCTGACTAAATTCTATAAGATTTCACGAAATTATGGAATTTTTAAAATCATAAGCCCAAGTAACGAGTTATATACTAGTTATATTACAAGAAATAACGTGAAATGCTGTAGTAATTATCAGTGTTGGCTTGACCAGACCAGTTTGACCAATCTGACCGGTCTGGTCAAAGGATCTGTACTGGTCAGATTTGTCAATTAGTATATTTAAATATTTATAAAATAGATTTGACCAATTTGACTAGTTTGACCATTTGACCAGACCAATTTGACCAGTAAATTTTTGGTCGACCACTAATTTACCCAACACTGATTTATATATAGGGAAGGTGATTTCCAAAGGTCTAATTCTTTATTTAGCATTATTCTCACTTCAATTTTCCAAATTACTAGGAATCAATACACATTACCTCATTTTTTAAATCCAATTTAAATTTAATTAACAAATAAAATTGTAACATTAATTTTTATATATTTTGTTTCAACGTGCCTGTTTATGGCGCAGTTCTCTTATATTGTTATACATTAGAGACAAATTCTTTATAATAACATAAATTATATTATTTTAATTATAAACAATTATAGAAATTCGTTTAAACGTAGATCACACTCAAAAGAAGCAATATAACGAGAAAATTTCTTCTAAGATTATAAATGTTATTTTAGGCGCCATATTGAATAATTCATATCGCATTGTGTAAGTATAAAAATATGTATTTATGAATTTATAATTATTCATGACTATTAAAAATCATAGACAGAAGTTCGTCTGATTGGCTAATAAATTCAATTTAATTTTACATTTATTTATACAGTTTAAAGTAATTTTTAGAAAAATAAAACTTCTCAGAATAAACTAAAAAGAAAAAAAAACATATAAAAAGTTTTATTAGGGTTGTAGGACTCCACCATTAAAAGAAAAATAAAACTTCTCAGAATAAACAAAAAAGAAAAAAGAAACATATAAAAAGTTTTATTAGGGTTGTAGGACTCCACCATTAAAAATAAACTCAATCAATTCTGGTTTTAGAGAAGTTAGCATAATAGCGACTTCTTTAAAGATACATGCTAACTTCTCCAAAACCAAAATTGATTGAGTTTATTTTTAATGGTGGAGTTCTACAACCCTAAAAAGTACTTTAAACTGTATAAATAATGTAAAATTGAATTTATTAGCCAATCAGACGAACTTCTGTTTATGATATTAAAAAGCAAATATGGGACTCCGCATAGCAAAACAGTGCATTGGGCCAACCAATCAGATTTTGAGATTTTATAATAATAATCTGT